AGAAAAATGCATGATCGCCAAAGTGTGTATCGCACATGGCACATAACTGCTTACTATTGAAATACGTGTATCCACGAAAAATAATGTAATATATTATAAAAAATATGTATGTAAATACAGGCTGCGACGGATAAATTGTCACCATTTTATATTTTTAATTTCTCGCGTTGTTTGTTTTTGATTTTTTTGACAGCACAGTGTTGAAGCTCCCATACATTTTATAGTTTTGGGGTGTCAATCTGAGGACAGTGCAGATAATTCGGAAAGAGATGGAATAATATATCCAGTCAACATCACGGTGTTTGGAGTGATCATTAGTGATGGCGACGTTATGCCTCCATTCATCTTCTCACGGGGTCTCAGATGCAACACGGGGGCCTACATCAAGTGATTTGAGGAGGTAATGCTGCCGTGGGTCAAGAGGGTGGCTGCTAAAAGAACCTATGTCTGGCAACAGGACTCAGCACTATGCCACAGAAGCAGGAGAACCCAGTTTTGTCTTTCAGGCAATTTCTGCGACCACATCACCCCTTACATCTGTCCACCTAACTCCCCAAACTGCAACCCCTTGATTATTATGTGTGGGGCGCAGTTAAGCAAGAGACCAAGAAAACACCTTGTAACGCCAAAGATGAACTGAAGGCAAGGATTATGGTAGCATTCACCAACTTAAACAAGAAGACCGTCAAGAAAAGATTCAGGAGATTCTTTGGTTGAAGTCAATGGTGATTTTATTGAATAAATTTACTCTTTAATATTTCAACATATTTTTGTGTAATATTGGTAAATATATCTGTTAAAACGTGATTTCAGTAATATTTTTATTTTTGCGTAATTTTGCGCAATTGCAATTTTATAATTGCGGGTAATGATAATATTAGCCGTTTCCCTGTAAGGAAACGTTTGGCATTTATCCACTGAGCAGCCAGTACATCTTCCAATTGAAATTTATAAAATCTTACACTTAAAACATTTTTTTCTGGAAAATAGGTTTCCCAAGTCCAACAAATGTTATCGTGCTTTCCAGTATTGATGGAAGTTTCCTTCCTAACCTTTTTATTTTCAACATCTTGATTATGTCATTATTTTCTCTTCTCAAACCCAGTAGCTGTTATCACTTTTTCCAATATTGATGGCGGTTTCCTTCCTAACCTTTTGTTTGAAGTAGTGTGGAATATCAACATCTTGATTATGTCATTATTTTCTCTTTGAGTTACATGTGATATCCATTTTAGTTTTTACTGTTCATAGTTGATGTTGTTTCTTTTATTTGGTACATTTCTTTGTGATTCTTTAGCGCCAGTCCACAATGTTCAAAGAATGATCTTTGCCGCCACACCAGGCTTTAGTTGCTTTATTCGCCATTGATGTTAGGAATACAGTATACTGCTGACAGTTTAGATATTTCTGAATGGATTTGACGCCATGCATGACATTCATATGAAACTCTCAATCTAACAAGCACAGAAAGCAAAATTGGTGTGCAGAGTTCGAATTCTAGCCCAGTTATGTTTTAAACCACCGAGCAGGCTGGGTTCACCTGAAGAGATCTGTTCGTAGACCTCATGGCCCGTTGTACACCGTTTCTTCGAAAGGTGTGGTTGGGTCTATACATGCCTTCACCATGATAATCGCATCTTATGTGTAAATCGTCTGGCGATTGAGTTCGAAAAAATTCAACTGCTCATACGTTGAAAGGTCGACGTGGGAGTTCAATACTGTTTCTTTCTGTTTGTGTGTCTATCTGCTTGTCTGCCTTTTTCTCTAAAATGAGTTATCGCCTTGATCCTTAAACGTATTTTAATAACAGCGTCCGTATTTAAGGAAAATTAGAATTTTCAATTCTTATTTTCAATCTTAGATGTAAGTTGAGCCTAAATTAAAATTCAAGATTAGATTATAGCGCAATTAAATATTTAACAACAGTAACAATGCATCCAAACAACAACATATCTCGCGAGACCCAGAAATATTAACCAAAAGATGTTAACCAAACGGTGTAAATTCAAATAAGTACCCGATGATTGCATAGAGCATAAAACTCTGAGTTGTGCCGTCGGCGTAGGGTATTATGCATATTTATTAATATACATACACACACACACACACACACATATATATATATATATAGACACACACACACACACACACACACACACACACACACACACACACACATATATATATATATATGTGTGTGTGTGTGTGGTGAAAGTCAACCTGTTACCGAGTGAGACCATCTCTTGTACTCAGACTTAATTAAGATTTTTCCCACAGTTTAACTATCATCAGTTCGTCATCAATGACATCTCAAATGGTTGTTAAGACACGCAAGAGTCCCGCAGTTCTTCCCAAATTTTTGACATGTCAATCTTCCTGCTGGAGCTTTCCTTTCTGGATGCTGGCTGTGGAAATGTCGTGTGAGTGCGCTGGCTGATCGACAGACTTTATGGCACATTGTACATGCATGATCATCGGGGATTTCATATTGGTAGTTGACATCACAATGACACCGCGTGTGACTGGGAAGACCTGCTTTGAAAAACAAACGCGGTCACATTGATTACATGTCAGAGACTTCTTCGATCAGAGTTCTGGGACAGGGTTGGTGCATCTCCTATATCTGCCTGGACGTTTTGGCTGTGCATATTCTAACTTACTGTTGACACCAGCCGCAATCAAATTTTTCTGTTTGCCGAGGTGTCTATATACTATATTTTTCCAAGTTTCTCCCATGTGTGTCTTTTTTTGAGTGTGTCCATCAGATTGTCTTTATAAGCGCTTTGGGGCTTATATATATATATATATATATATATATATATATATATATATATATATATATATATATATATAAAGGGTGTGTAAAAGTAACGCCCTTTTTATTTATTAACTTTTGTTGAACAAAAGTAAATTGTAATAGATTTTTGAAAACTTTTTTAAAAATTATTGTCACATCAAAAATGATTCGAATTGTACCCTTTATTTCGTCCACCGGGGTAGATTGTTCTAGTTCCACGTGACATGCCTCCTCTGGATATCTCAGTTATCTCCTTTTAACACAACTCACCAAGTTTACCAGGTACTGAATTCAGAACTCTCTGAGTAAAGTCAGTGGCTCCACCTCAAGGACACATGGCCCAGAGGATAAAAGCGTTGGTTAGATCCAGTGACTTGACCCAAAGAGTTGTGAGTTCAAACCTGGCTACCGCAGTGGTGAACGAAAATTTGGAGATTTGACATAAAGGGAGATAACTGAGACATTCGGAAAAAGCATGGCAACTAGTTTTTTCCAAAAATCAAGAGAGTAATTCATAATAATTGTGCCACATTTTGTAAATAAATTATAAATAAATATCGCTCTTCCCAATGGTACCTAGACATTTTGAATTTAAGCGCAGTACTTGATTGCCAACGAGGTCTCGTTATTTTACAGTTAAAATGACTAGATATAACCGTAATTTCTATGCTAACAGTTTCTTCTCTCGCACTTCTCGCTTGTGTAACTCTCTTCCAGCCATTTTTGATCTTCTTGATTTCTCTTATTTGATTTTTTTCTTGTTCCTTAATAACTTTATTTTTACTTATTCTTAAGGACTTTCACACTCAGTAACTTTCTGTGTCTTAGTGGCTTTGTTATCTTTGCTTGGAGTGAAACGATTAAAAAAATTGTCTGCTTGTAACTAATGATAATTCCTCACCCCCAAAATTCAGCTAGAAACTTTTAGGGAATTTATTTATTTTTTATTCTATTGATTAGGAATATCCACATGTAAATAATGCTAAATATAATATATATATATATATATATATATATATATATATATATATATATATATATACGAAGAGCCGTTCTTCAACCGGCAACCATTGTAACTGCTACCGTAAGACTTGTTACTCTTCCACCGTAAGATTCGTTATTCTCTTACCGTTGAACTCGCTACTCTTTTTACCGCTACGACGAGTTAGCGTTTTCTTTTGTAGACTGAACGGTGGTATGAATATTCAGATATATATCTCAGATAAAAGTGGTCCGTCTTGTCAGGGGAGATTTTTTTTTAAAAATTACGGTTGCCAAATCCTAGAGAGATTACCTATCTCTTTTGAAGCTGACTAGCAAATCCATGAATTTCTGTTGTTTTTTTTTATAGTCGTGGACGCCATTTCTATGCTTGTTATATCACTGACTACTTCACCCAGGGATTGAATTCACAACCACCACATAACTAGATACACTTAACCAAGATGAAGCTTATTGTAGATCCAGTATAGGTTACATTTTCCGTGAAACAAAAAGCATCAATTTTGTATCATCCTTTGTCTAACATTTACTGAGACAGCATGGGTTCATTCAAACATATTTTATTAAACAGAACTGACAAACTTTATCCGTTTAATTTTTAGTGAATTTATCTGATCGGCGAAAGAGTTTCCGTAAATCTCGCTCAAAATTACGACACGCTGACAAGATAAATCCACAATTTGAAATTCGATAGGCAAAATTTGTCAGTCATATTTAATAAAACATATATATATTCAATTTCATAACCACAGCACGTCAAGTCGTGTTCATGTCAAACTTTAGTTTATAACACAACGCAAATACTAAACATTCTTTCCTTGAAGACGATGAATGATGATTAGAAACCCTCGGTGCCTCACTCGTTGTTTCGATAAGTTTTTTCGATATTAAACGACTTCAGTTCTGCTATATGGTAGTGAATGCTGGACGGATCGACTCACAAATGAAGAAGAGACTTGAAGCAACAAAAATGTGGTGCTACAGAAGGACACTGAGAATATCATGTGAGCAACGACGAAGTTTTAGAGAAAATGGAAACAAAAAGGACACGTATGCTTAAGATCAGAAATTTCTAGGGCACATAATAAGAAAAGAGGGCTTAGAAAAATTGACACTCACGGGTCATAAAGACAAAATGGACAAAGGGAAACAGTACCTAACCTACTTATTGAGATTGTGTAAATAGTTGCCAGAACAGAGA